TCAGGAAAGGGTGGGCATTGTGGCTCAGTGGGTTAAGCCTCCACCTCAGAGGCCAGCATCCTGTATGAGTGCTGGTTTGTGTCCTGGTCGCTCTGCTTCCATTCCAGCTCCCTGCTATACACCTAGAAAGCAGTGGATAATGGCCCTAGTATTTGTGTCCCTGCCACCCAAGCGGGAAACTCAGATGGAAGTCCTAGCCCTGGCTTCTGCCTGGCCCAACCTTGGCTGTAGCAGGCTTGAATTCAAGGAGTGAACAGTGGATGGAAGATCTTTTTCTCTGTCTCTCCCTATCACTCTGTCTTTAAAAAAAAAAAAAGAAAGGAAGGAAGAAAGGAAGAAAGAAAGAAAGGAAGAAAGAAAGAAAGAAACTAGGTGTGACACTTGCTTGAAAGTTGAATTAAAACTGGAGACCTGCCAAAATAATTTCCTTTTTGTTGTATCATAAATTGGAATTATTCCTTTGTTCCTCTTTCCATACATTAAAAGGGTGAGATGGTGATGGTTCTATGCTAAGACTATGGACAGATTTACTCTTGTCATTAGTCCAAAGTGATCCCAGGGAGGCTGAAATCCTGGTAGAGTTTCAGTGTCCCCTCCAAAAGTCAAGCTGGAATGTAATTGTTACTGTTACAGTATCAAGAGGAGGACCTGTAAGCAGAGATCAGGTTATGAAGGCTCTGGCCTCCTGAATGGATTCTGTGGTTGCCACAGGCATGTTAGTGAGAGTGGATTTGTTGTCAGTCCCTCTCGCCCCTCGCTCTGCTATGGTGCAGAACAGAAGCCCTTGCCACATGCCAAGGCCATGCTCTGGGACTTCCACTCTCCAGAACTGTGAGAAAATAATTTTTGTCTTTTTAAATGGCTCGCTCTGTGGTATTCTATTATAGCAGCAGATGATGAATTAAGACAGAGTCTGAGTCCAACAAAGTAGTGTCAAAAGCCACAGCCTTAGGGTCAAAAGTACAGGCTTAAGATCAGACAGGTCTGGGTTGAATCATGGCTCAAGCTGCAAGATACAGCCTTGGACAATTAACCTATTATTCTCCAATTCCAAATATGCAAGAAAGTAAGAGGGGATTTGAAAAAGTTCACAGAAAAACAGATTTAAACGTTTTTTGGAGGGTGCAAATTTTTTTGAAATCCATGCAAAACAGGAGCTTTTGAAAAGTTTATGGCAAATGTGTATTATGGAAAAGCTGCATGGATTTCAGCAGCTTTTAATTCCATTTTTTCACCAACCTTTAGAACTGTTCACCTGCAATCAATCATATTATCCATAATATGATAATTATGAGGTTTAAAGAAGAGGCAGATTTTTAACAGGGTTTGGCACTGAGAACTACTGAATAGTATCAGTAGTTAGTATCACATTTTTATTTTTAAAATTTGTGTTCTGCTGTTGGCGCTGGTTCCGAAAGTTACTGTGAGGACCTGATGGTCTGACCAATCCCATTCCTTTCTTTTCTTTGAAGTGGCAGAAAGAAGTCATGGGAAAAAGCACCACCTGGTGCCTATAGACTCACTTCCCATCTACTCCGGCCCCTCACAGAAGATTGTCTATGTGAGATCAGTGACTTTTCTTTTTTTTTAGAGCTCCCATTCAAGTTCAAAGACTTACCCTTCCAAAGAACATGAGCTATAGTCACAGTTTATGATGTCATGTTGGCTGCAATGCTTTGTTGTAGTTGCTGAAATATTCACAAGTGCAGTCACTGCTTAGATCTTAAAAGAATTAAAAGGGGGAAGTCCAACTCCATTCTTCAGTAAAATACAGCAGACCAACTAGTAGTAGAACCACTGGCCAATAAAAACAAGAAAAGTTTAAAAAGCACATCTTTCTTTAGATCATGCAATTTACAAAGTCAGTCTAGCATCTTTGATTAGGATCCTGTCCAAATGAAGTGTTTTAACAGCAGGCTAAGTCAGCCAGGATTTTTAAAATTGCATTATGAGTACATTATGTTATTGTGTCATCTCAAACCCAAGATGTATTATTTCATTTTTATATTATGGTGATTAGACCGTATTATGAACAATGTGTAAAGTAAGGTTGTACTTGTTTTTCTTAAAAAGTGATTCAATAGTCTCTCTTGAAACTGATGGAGTCTTAGACTTATGACAATATGGAGCTCTAAAGTCACATTGCTTTGTGATGATTTCTAAGATGGTGGCTCTTCCTCCATGATAATTTGATGATGGGGAAAAAGGAACAAAGTGAATACATAGGATTGTCCCAAAGGCTTAAGATTCATAACACACATGTGTATGTGGATATGAGACATTGCTTAATATATGGCCTTCATTTCAATATTATAAGTCCCTCAGATTTCTTTATGATAGGAATTGTAATAGCAAAAGATCTGAAGAACAAAAGTCCCTCTCCTACCAGTTCTTGAAATCTTTTTCTTCACTCTTAGAACATTCCTTTTGTTTGCATTTGAGAGACAAAGAGAAAGCTCTCATCCAGGGGTTCACTCCCCAGATGGCCAGCACAGTTGAGGCTGGACCAGGGTGAAGCCAGGAGCTGGGAACTCAATACAGGTCTCCTACATAGGCGACAAGTGCTCAGTTAACTGAGCCAACGCCACTGCCTATCAGGGTCTGTCCTGGCAGAAAGCTGGAGTCAGGAATCACATCCTGGTACTCCAACAGGGGAGCAAAACGGCTGCTCCGTGCATCCCCTTCTTTTGAGGGTCCCCGTGAATAGCTGGTACAGCAGCTGTAGCTATCGCTGCCAGGTTGCAGAGTTGTCTTTTAATGTGCTCCTACACACCACTTGACACCTGACATATGCAGGATGTTGCTGTGCACACAGCAGCTGCTCAGTAAATACCTCTGGCTCACTGATGTGAAATACAAACTGCGTTCTACTTAAGCATACATATAGTTTTAAGAGATGGGAAAATTCAAATTTCTAAAACTGTTCCCTCTTTTCTTTTACCCTACTAAAAACCCACTGCATTAATTTTGGAACTTTCACAGCAATAAAAGTCACCAATAAATCAAACCCTAAAAGTACTTTTACCTTTAAACAATTTTTAAAGGTCATAACCTCTTCTATTTTGATTACAAACATGATAATCACCATACTTAAAGGCATAACCTCTTTTCTATTTTGATTACAAACATGATAATCACCACACTTAAAGGCAAAACACCTTTAGGGATGGCAAACTCAATGGTCGAGTTAATATAAATGATAAAATGTGATGTTAATAGTTTATGATGTGAAACATTGTTGGGGGGGCAGCACTGTGGTACAGTGGGTAAAGCTGCCAACTGCAGTGCTGTCATCCCACTTGGGCGCCCGGTCAAGTCCTGGCTGCTCCACTTTTGATCCAGCTCTCTGCTATGGCCTGGGAAAACAGATGGTCCAAGTCTTTGGGTCCCTGTACCCGTGTGGGAGACCTGGAAGAAACTCCTGGCTCCTGGCTTTGGAATGGCGCAGCTCCAGCTGTTGCGGTCAACTGGGGAGTGAACCAGCAGATGGAAGAACTCTCTTTCTGTCTCTCTCCTCTCTCTGTGTAACTCTTTCAAATACATAAATCTTTTTAAAAAATTGTTAATGGATCAATTCATTTGAAATGGAACAGTTTAACCAATTAAATTGAAAAGTAATGACCCATATTTAACTTGAAAGAATGTAAAAAAAAAAAAAAAGGAAAAAAAGAGAGGGAAGGAGGAAGACAATTTAAAATATTTAATCCAAAATTTTAAAAAAATTCCATTTTTAAAGTAGTTTACATTTCAGAAAAGGAAAAGTAGCTTGTTAAAAGCTGATAAGGACAATCAGCAAAGAATGAAGTTTTACAAAGTAGAAAGTTATTTTGATGCCTACTGCCTGTAAATTGCGCTTAAAAAGTAAATTGTAAATCCTACTAAAGCCTTTTTCTTATTTGCTAATTCTATCAAAACTGTTTGAATACATAAAGAACCACAGGGTTTACAGACAGGATGAATAAAGTGATATGGATTTGCCCAATTTTTGTTTTCCCACAGTTATTGACAGAAGAAATTAGGCAAACCTTGCATTTGATTTTCAAAGTCAAAATAATGCAAGTGGCCTCCCATTTTCTCCTTGGAGCACACTGACACACATCACACCACAGTCTGTTTTCATGTTTGGCCCAACAGCTTCAGGAACGCTACAGCAGCTTTTTATTTATTTATTTGGAAGTTATAGTTACACACAGAGAGGAGGAGAGACAGGGAGAGAAAGGTCTGCCACCCCCCAATTGGCTGCGACAGCTGGAGCTGTGCCAATCCGAAGCCAGGAGTCAGGAACCTCCTCCAGGTCTTCCCACGTGGGTGCAGGAGCCCAAGGACTTGGGCCATCTTCCACTGCTTTTCCAGGCCATAGGAGAGAGCTGGATCAGAAGTGGAGCAGTCAGAAATTGAACTGGTGTGTCGCTCCCCGTCTTCGTGGAGGAGCAACACAGGACCCTGCGCTGTTCTTTTGTCTGCTCGGCCCTCCCCGGGTTTGCTGCTGGTTCTTCCCGGGTTGGCTACTATCCCTTCCACCTCCGTGGAAGGGCAGTTCCCCCTGGCCGCATTCCCCACTTCCGCAGGGGAGCGGCACACCGCCGGCCGGTTCTCTCGGGGGCTGCACGGGTTCCCTTAGATGTTCCCCATAGATGTTCCCGATGCATGCCGTCTCTCTCCTCCTTTATAGTCCTCCTCCGCCAATCCCAACTCGGCTGCCCACACGCCGAGTACGCTGCTCTCCTCCAATCAGGAGCAAGTCCTACAGTTTATTAGTTGAACTGGAGGCAGCTGTGCGGAAGCTGTTTACTTCTCTCCCAGCGCCATATTGTGGGAGAGCAGATGCATAGAATAAGTCCTAATTCGAGTAACTTAGTCTAGTCCGGATTGCTCCCCACACTGGTGCCCATATGGGATGTGGCACTGCTTTACCCGCTATGCCACAGCACCGACCCCTATAGTAGCCTATTTAAGGCTTCATTAGAAAGGAGGAAATAACCACATTTTCACAACAGAAGAAGTGTTCATGAGATACAAAGATTTACTATCAAGATGTATGTACTAGGGTACTTCACAGAAAAGTATAACGGAAAGATGGTTTATTTTGGTAAAAAATAAAAATTGGAATGCAGTTTTATCGTAATACTCACTTTCCATGAACTTTTTGCAGATTCCACATATATGACTCCAAATTATTTTACAAAGTAATCTTTTAACTGCATTTTCATTGACCTTTTGAAGTCATCTTGTATTTTCCTATCATGCATGTATGTGATGTTTTAGAAATGTTCTACTAATGTTTCAGAGTTAAAAAATGTATGACAACTCTATTATCCTGTACTTGCTATACTTTCATTTGGAAGTCTTGTATTTGCACTTTTCCAAGACCCACAGTTAAACGGCAGAAAGGTGGCCATTTGGCCTGGTGGGTAACATGCTGCTTGGGACACGTGCATTATTGGAGTGCCTAGTTCAAGGCTGGGCTCTTCTACTTTGGATCCAGCTTCTTACAAACGTGCACCCCTTGAGGCAGATGACAGCTCAAGTACTTGAGTCCTTGCTGCCCATGTGAGAGACCTGGATTGAGTTCCAGGCTCCTGTTTCTGCCTTTCAAATAATGTGAAAATAAATAACATACTAAAATATTTTTTAAAAATAAATACAAATGAATTAAAAAAAAAGGCAGAGAAAACTGATCACTTCTCACTTCCAAGTGTCTTACCTGCCTATGTTTGATTCACAAACTCAGAAAAATGTTATTTTCAAGCAAGCTGTGATAAATTAGTCAAATGATTTTGAAAGGGAGAAAGAAAAGCCATGGCTTAAATTGTTAGCCAAAGGTGGCCTCTCTTGAAATTCATGTCAATTTTCCATTCTGCAAAGTAACTCATCCACATAAAAAATTGTCAAAACGGACATCATTTAATTAGTGATATGTAAAGACCTTTGCATAGAAAAAGGTTACAAAGTAATGCGAAAAATACTAGGTACAGTAATTTTAAAACAAATATTTCAAAGTGTAATTTGCATAATGTTTAACATTCTCATAAGGTTTATTGCTTTCTCCACACAGCAGAGAAATGAAGTGCATAATAATACATGCTGTGTCTCTTTCAAATATAAAATCTGACGTGCTCCATTTCAATGTATTAAGAGATTATTTTGTCATTAAACAAATCCAAAAAAACAAAACCAAAACACCATTATGTTGCACTAGTCTAGGCAGAACAAAAATAATTTATATACATCCTATTGCATACATTCATCTTGATTTGGGATCAAACACAATCACTAACTTGACAAAGAGCATTTACAAATCATGACTTTCTTCCCAACGCTCTCTCCTTGTCTCATCACCTCTAGAATTGCAACTTGTCCCCAAAGGCGACAAGAATAGATGTTACACATTTTCAGGAGAAAATGATGAGGATAAATATATAAAAATAGTCCCAATGAGACTGAATAAATTAATCCAAACTCTTATGAACTGGGAGTTTTCAAGTTGGCATGACTCAAACAGCTTCTGGTGGGCACACAGGCAACTGTTTCTAGGTGCACTATATAAATGTACTGTTTAGATAAAGCAGCACCAGATGTTGAACCATCAAAAAGGAAAGGTGCCCAGGGGCTTGCAGGCAGAGGAGAAATGCTTGCTAATGTGAGCACTGATGGAATATGAATAATTGCTTATGCCACTGCATTCCTAAATGTCACCAATTCGCAAGTCAGTACAAAGAAAGAAAACTAAGATAAGCTCTGTCAACTTCAGAATTATTTTCAACAATTCCTTTGCCCACTAAAACCCGTGGTTTTGAGAGAGGACCCTTCTCTGGCATTGTATTAAAATGTCTGCAGCCCAATGCAGGGCGTGTCTCCCTCTCTTTCCCTTACCTAACCCCTCTGCCCTCCTTTCTGTGTGCAATATTGCATGTTCACAGGAAAACTTTCCTAGCTCAGGCACTTAGGAAATCGAGTATTTCTTTTTTTTCCCCTCCATCTACTTTCAAGAGAATTCAGTCGGGGCATTTTTCTTCCCCAAGGCAGACATACTGACGCCCTGCTGGATGGTTCTGCCCATGCATTTTCCAGGGAACTTCTAAGTGGAAACAAGGGTGCAGTTCTCAAAGTGGCTGATGTCAGTTACCAAGCTGCCTTTCAACAAACAAACGACAAAAGGACAATACCACGTTTCCAACGTGTGAGGTTGTGTCTCAAATAGCTTTATTGTTCCTCTGTGGATCTGTAGGCAGGTATCTGTATGGCTACCTTCACGGTGAGAGGTCTGAAGCCGATTCTGAAATGAAGGACATTCAGTTGCTACTTGCAGAAGTTCAGGGAAAAATCAGAAGGCGCCAACTTCTGTCCCCCAGGGGCGGTAAGGTTTACTGTTTGTTCCGCCGCTCGTCTGCTGAGGACTGGAGGCGGCTGACACGGCCAAGGGTGGGCTGATCGCCGTCGCCGCCGCCACTGCTGCGGCCGCGTTTGGGGGGAGCATGGGGAAGGCCCCCGCGAACGACAGAGGAAAGCTGTGTGCAGCTGCTGTGGCGGCGGCGGCCGCAGCATGGACGGTGGCTGACAGCGACAAGAGAGAGGTGGACAGCGGCGGCACGCAAGGGGCGACACTGCCGGTGGATGGCATCCGAAGGGCGGAGTCTGCGTGGGCAAACGTGGCCGTGAGCAGGGCAGAGCCGTGGGCCGGAGGCACTTCGGAAGTCGTGGAGAGGCGGCAAGGGGCCGACTCCGAGGTGTGGAGTCCGTTGGGCTGGAGCAGGGCGGCGGGCAGGTGGTGGAAGGCGGCGGCCCAGTGGTGCGGGTGCAGCGCGTGGTGGTGGTGGTGGGCCATGGAGGACGTCATGGCCGCCGCCTCCCTCTGGGAGGCGCAGGTGCTGAGATGCGAGACGAGGCGCACGCGCAGGGGGTCTGCGGAGTCCAGGCCCTCCACGGAGCTCAGGTACCTCGCCACCTCCGTCAGGCACTCTCGGAAGCCGATGCTCATGAAGTCCATGGCAAGAGCGTGGGCGTCGAAGTAGCCTAGGAGGAGGTGTGGACCACGTGGGGGTAAGGAGAGAGGGGAGACATATGGCAGTCAGGACAGGGGCGCCCTGATGCCACCCTGTGTCCTGGGGAGACCGGTAGAGCCTTTCCTGAATAGGGCCTTCGTCCTGCCACACCTCACACGCGGCAACGCCACGCGCCTGGGCGGTTCTGTGACTAACCATCATTGTCATTGCGGGGGGTGGGGGGAGGACGAGGAACATGGCCCGCCCTGGCTTTCCTATCCTGGGACAGGCAGTGACCCAGCACACTTCATCCTGGACATCACAGTTCCAGTCTCCCTGTCTCTGTAAAGAGCTCGCCCGAAACCTCCTTATGCTCGTGGGATTTGCACGGAGAAGCCCCATGTGTCCCAGCTTGGGCGCTTGCTCTAGAAATGCGCTAGAATCTCAACAAACGTGCAACGTGCAAATGATTGACTTTTTAAAATCAGCACATTGAAACATCTTGTCACTACTTTGTATGAAAAAGATTAATGAAGACAAAGTGAGTTTTTAGAACGAGCTGGTTACTAATTTTAAGATTTTTTTTTCCCGACAGGCAATATAAGGTTGTTTTACAGAGTGATTACTGTAACTCCTAGTTTTTCAAAAGTTCGAATATGTTATCTCTTTCACTGGTTAGACTTATGACATCCACCTGAGGAAAAATCGTGTTATGTCAGTGAGCATGCACCACCCCACATCTCTGGTTATGATCATGACACTGGCTGGAGTGGGGCCGCATCTATCAGAGTCCCTTTTCACTAAAACAAAGTATATTAGAATGTAAAACAGTAACTGATTATTACAGTGGCAATTTAGACAATAATAATCAGACATTTGGGGAAATAGCTACACTGAATGAGTAATGTCCAGTATGCACAGCATTTTTCCATTTGCAACTTTTTTAAAGATTTATTTATCTGATAGAGTTACATAGAAGCAGGGACAGATCTTCCACCCACTGGTTCACTTCCCAGATGGCCGCAAAAGCCAGGAGCTTCTTCCAAGTCTCTTAAGTGGGTGGTAGGGGTCCAAGCACTTGGGCAATCCTCCACTGCTTTTCCCATGCCATTAGCAGAGAGCTAGATGGGAAGTGGAGCAGCTGGGACATGAACCAGTGCCCATGTGGGATGCTGGCATTGCAGGCGGTGGCTTTACCCACTATACCACAATGCTGGCTCCCATTTGCAACTTTTTAAAAGGTAATTTTCAAATGAAAGGTTTAGACTACTCATTTTGAGATAAGTGTTTATATGAATGGGAGATATTCACATTCAAAGGAGGTTATTTTCATTTAAGGCATTTATTACATTATCTTTTCATGATTTTGCAGATCAAAGAATTACTGTTTCATTTGTCATCTACTAAAAGACTATCTTGGGGCCTTTATTTTGGCACAGCAGATTAAGCTGCCACTTGCAACACTGGCATCTCATGTTGGAGTGCCGGTCCCGAGTCCTGGCTGTTCTGCTTCTGATCCAGCTCCCTGCTCATGCACCTAGGGAAGCAGCAGCAGATGATCCAGTTCTTGGGCCCCGGCCACCCACGTAGGAGACCTGGATGGAGCTTCTGACTATTTGGTGTCTCTGTCACTGTGACTTTCAAATAAATAAAAATAAAAATAAATTAGGCTATTGTAATCTATAATCAAAGCATTTTGAACAATAGTCACGTATATTCAGTGCCTATAAACAGAAATGTGGAAGTCCCAAAAAGATGACTGGGACACAAATGTACACCACTGAAACAAAACCAACAGCACAAAGCAGATTTTTTTTTTTTTTTGACAGAGTTAGACAGTGAGAGAGAGAGAGAGACAGAGAGAAAGGTCTTCCTTCCGTTGGTTCACCACCCAAATGGCCGCTGTGGCCAGCGCGCTGCGCTGATCCGAAGCCAGGAGCCAGGTGCTTCCTCCTGGTCTCCCACGTGGGTGCAGGACCCAAGCACTTGGGCCATCCTCCACTGCACTCCCAGGCCACAGCAGAGAGCTGGACTGGAAGAGGAGCAACCGGGACAGAATCCGGCGCCTCAACCAGGACTAGAACCCAGGGTGCTGGCGCCGCAGGTGGAGGATTAGCCAGGTGAGCCGCGGCGCCGGCCAGCACAAAGCAGATTTAAGAGAATATTATAAAAGGTCAAAGAATCAGTGGCAGAACTCATTATCATCCCAGGACACTGGCACGGTCAGAGAATTAAGTCTCTGGGATTAGAAGGAAAAGCTATCCCTGAGGCGGAGCCTCCATGGAAAGATTTCACATTTCAGTCCTCAGGGTCTCTCTGAAGGCTTCTCATTTCCATAAGAGAAGGAAGGAGGTCCTGATTAGTGGTGACTGACTCCTGAAATCCAGAGAGGGTTAGAAATTCAGGATACTCTTAAGTCCTCTCTAGCAACTACTGGCATGCCAAGACAGGTGAAAAACAATGAACTATCAGAATTGGAAAGCCAGGAGCATCCAAGAATTTTCATTAGCAGTCATGAAATCAGTGCAATCTGTGGTTTGCCAGCTATGTTGTTGTATATGGCCAACTCCACTGTTGCATCTTAAGGAATATAAATTATGTGATTCCTACGCTGTTGTTAACTACAGAGGGAAGTGATTATGAGCAGCTATCTCCTATAAAATAGATACTGGGCCAACAACAGCATACATGCCCTTACCACTGTTCTACAGTCTCTGAAAAAATGTTTTCATTTATTTATTTGACAGAGAGAGCGAGTAAGCAAGCCACAGAGCTCTCATCTGTTGGTTCACTCCCCAAATGCCTGCGATGGCCAGGAATGGACCAAAGTTGGGAACCAGGAACTCAGTCCAGGCCTCCCACATGGTTGGGCAGGGACTCAACCACTTAAACCATAACCACTGTCTCCCAGGATTATCATTAGCAGGAAGCTGGAGTTAGCAATGGGAGCCAGAACTCAAACCTGAGTACTCTGATTTGAGATGTCAATGTTTTAACGGCTATGCTAAATGCCTGGCCCTGTTCCATGGACTTTAAGAGACTTAACTCCTAACAACCTTGCGAGGTAGACACTATCACTGACTTCATTTTACAGAAGACAGAACTGGGACTCACACAAGATTAATAATTTCTGCTGTCGTCACTGAGCTACTAAATGGTAGAGTGAGGATTTGAAGTCAGGCATCCCAGCTTCCCACAGCTTCCTTTTCCACTGGGAGAGGAGGCAGCTGGGAGTCTTCAACAATATGAGCTCCAAATGCCACATCCCTTCTTCAAGACCTACACACCCTGCTGGGTGATGACCTCGCCAGTGACCTGGCACTGACCCAACATGTATGGAGCCTGCTTGGAAATGTCTGATCACAAATTATTCTGGGATGAATTCTAGGATGGCAGAGTAGCCAAGAATGGCTCAATTTTATAATAAAGCTGAGGAACAGGATTGCACTGAAGTACAGCAAATGCCACATAACCAAAACCCTGGTAAGAATTCTTGGCCAGTGGCTGACAATGTCAAAGGAGGCAGAGCAGTGAAACAACTTTTCTTGCACATCAGTAACACAATTGGTCTCTTACCAGCCTGAGGTAATACTGTGGAGATAGAGGCCTCTGAGGCTCACCTGCTGGAAGCACAGTACTTCTGTCTCAGGTCAAAAGCAAGAAGTGGCCTGGCTGGGCTGGATCATCAGCTTCCAGGAGTTAATCCAATTCTCTCCTCTAGTATGTAAGAATGTTTGCTTCCTATGTCACTCTATTCATTTAGGATAGTTCCTTAGGGAAAGTGCAACCTGGTCACACCACGTGGGCTTCCCTGTATAATGACTACAGTCCCTACCCTCACACCTGACAAAGGTAAGGTGGTTATAGTCAGGTTGATGTCCTAGAGTTTCTGGTAGTATGGCCATACAGGAATGAAATGCTGAAAATATTTTGGTACTAGTTGGTAAATAACAACTTTCCTCCAATGCCCTACCCCAGTGCTGATCCTGAATCCAAATGCTATGTAGTAAAAGACTAACACTGATGGGGATATTGTTGTGGCACAGTGGGTTAAGTCACTGCCTACAACATCGATGCAATGTGGATGCCAATTCAAGTCCTGTTTGCCCAACTTCCAATCTGACTTATTGCTAATGTGCCTGGGGAGGTAGTGGAAGATGGCTCAAGTGTTTGTGTCCCTACCAAGCACATGGAAGACCCAGATGGAGTTCCAGGCCCTGCTGTTGTGGCCATTGGGGAGTAAACCAGTGGATAGAAGTTCTCTTCCTCTAATTCTTTTTTTTTTTTTAAAAAAGATTTATTTACTTACTAGAAATGCAGAGTTATATAGAAAGAGGAAGGAAGAGAGGAAGAGAGAGAGAGAGAGAGATCGATCTTCCATCTGCTGAGTCACTCCCTAAATGGTCACAACAGTTGGAGCTTCTTCTGGATCTCTCATGTGGGTGCAGGGGCCCAGGTACTTAGGCCATCTTCCACTGCTTTCCCAGGCACATTAGCAGGGAGCTAGATCAGAAGTAGAGCAGCCAGGACTTGAACTGGCACTCCTATGGGATGCCAGCACCACAGGTGGCAGTTTTACCTGCTATTCCATAGCACCAGCTTTTTTTTTTTTTTTTTTTTTTTTAAGATTTACTTATTTATTTGAAAGGTAGAGTTACACCCAGAGAGAAGGAGAGGCAGAGAGAGAGAAAGGTCTTCTATCCGCTGGTTCACTTCACAACTGGCCTCAATGGCCGGAGCTGCACCAATCCAAAGCCAGAAGCCAGGAGCTTCCTTTGGGTCTCCCACGCAGGTACAGGGGCCCAAGGACTTGGGCCATCTTCCACTGCCTTCCCAGGCCAGGGCAGAGAGCTGGATCGGAAGTGGAGCAGCTGGGAGCCGAACCGGTGCCCATATGGGATGCTGGCACTGCAGGCAGCGGCTTAACCCGCTACGCCACAGCATTGTCCCCCAGCACCAGCCTCTTAACTCTTTCAAAAAAATAAACCAGAAAGCACAGGGGAAGGGAAGGGGGATAAGGGGAGGGGGAAAGAAGAAAAGACTAATGCTGAGCACAGAGAGGGGTCTAGACCTCAGCTGCAGCCCTGTGATACCCTCTCCTTATCCATTAACTACGCTGAGTAACACCTTTGGCTAAGATAAATTTCAGTCTTCCTTGAAGGGTGAAAAAGAGACAAAATGGCAAAATCAAGTCTGAGTAATGGGTGGGGCAGTGGGACAATGAAATCTGAAGGAATGTTTCTGGTCTCAGGGTCTCAGTCTGTTTTCAGCATGTGACCAGGGTCTCTTTCTAAGTCATGATAAAGCACACAGATGGCATCTCTCCAGGGCCCTAGGCCCAGAGCACCTGCTCCTTTGCTGTCTGACCCTACTCCATTAATGGTTTCTAACACAGAGCTTCATTACCTGCACTTCACTCTGCTCAGTCTAAAACCAAATTCAAGCAAAATTTGAAAAACAAACAAAAAAAATCCTAGGATCACTTTCTTTGGAATAATTAGGTGATCTGAGTCCTAATCTTGCTTTAATGGAAAGAGAGGAGAGATTACCTCTAGCCTTCTGTTTGTGTTGGGATGTTTGTGTGTTTGTTTTGCCTTTCTGTACAGATTCCAGCATGTGTTTGTGAAGCCCCAAACAAATCTCTGACTAGGCCGCTGTGAATGAGGCTTTACTTTCACAGTATTATGAACGCAAACACAAGCCCAGGGTCAAGTGTTTCTTCTGTTCCAGAAGTTCTTTCCCACGAGTTCAATCCTGCCATTAGCATTGATTTCCATGGCTTTAATCTGGGACCGCCTATTGCAGCTTGTTAAAGAATTGTTAAAGACTGTTCAGCTATGACTGCTTTACAATATTAGGGGGAACTGCAAAGAGAAAGGTGGAAAAGGAGAAAAAAATGAAGTCGCTCACTTACCTTTACCTCCTGTTGCCTGAAGCATCTTTAAATGATCCACTGTCATCTGCAATATTTCAGCTTTTTCTAACTTTGCAGAACCCTGCAAAAAAAAAATCAAAGTTTCATATGTCCTATAGAAATGTATATGAAATGTTATTTGCTGAAAGTAGTATTACGCTTTCAATTTTCCCTCTCATTAGAAAATTTTGTTGTTTTCACAGAAAAATCTGAATTCTTTCCAAATTTTACTTGAAAACATTATTGTGTCACATCTGTTGACAGGTATCTGCCATTTTAATTTTTAAAGACTAAAATAAGGCCTAATAAATAACTTTTAAATCATAATAATTAAACTCCTAAACTACCCCAACTATCAGTGTCTTGGTTAGTCACACATTTTGAAACCTACAATAGTCTTTTATATAATGCTGAAATGTAGATCAGTTAAATACCAATTTTGGAAAGAGAGGAGACAGGATTTTAGTAAATTACTTTAAAAATTTAAATACAGAAAGTTCTAGTAAGTCCTTAAGGTAACTAGACCAGTTAAAGCAGAAATAAGAGGCTTTTTAAGGTGTGTCTTCAGTAATCACCAGCAGGTGTCACTGTGAATTCCAAGATAATAAGGAATAACTTAACTACTCATTTAGTCAGTACCATAAATGTGTAAGGTTCTCTAACCTTTTAGAATAGTTTTAAAATAAAAAATATACTTTTATGTTCCTTATTTTAAAATACAACAACTTAAAGAAATCCACTGAAATGCAAATTACCACCTCAAGTGTCCCAGGGGACTGTGGGTGGCTTCTAATTTCCTGGAAGGGCTAAATAATTAAACCAACATGCCGGAGTTTTTTTTTCTCCCACCTTGGAAAGGATACTAAAGTTTACTTCAGGTTCCTATACTTTCCTTATTTTGTTAAATTATCAACACTCAGTACACGGGTATGAACGCCAGAGTTATTTACTGCTCTACAGAACTCCTCTGATCATATTGTGACAGGGCCAGCTCCCTAGGGTTGGTAGCCAAGCTCCCCAAGTGGGAAAGCTTGTGTTTATGGTAACTAACTGCCAAACGACAGAGGTCTGCTTTTAAGGTTTAAGTCAACATTTAAGGGGGGAAAAAAATCTAACAAAATCTAACAAACCAAGAAAAAGAAATCACCAAATTGACTGCTCCTAACTAAGGACACTTCTGTCCTGGACATAATAACAACCCCAGGGCAGACTAACAGTCCCTTTTGCAGCCAATCTTTGAAAATGCTACTCATCAAAACTGTCATTTCCATGTTACATTTTGCTTATCAAAGACAGCCCCAGTATACAGACTGCGTGTCTTTTTTGTCTTAAAAATGGATAATCAATAGCACATTTCATTCTGCATTTTTGTCAACGTTCAGCTTTTACAAGAAGGTATACAAGTAGCTTCAGTGAAAGTGACTAATAACCAAAACTGCAGTTTCTGGATAATTTCCAAGGGCTTTGTAGGGCTTGCTCTACAATGTTTGTGGATTCATGAAGTAAACAACAAAATGGAATAAACAAACAACTGTTGTCTTGTACTCTATTTGGAACCAAATGAAAAATATTTTCAACAAGCACATGTTGCCACATCCTTTGAACGACGCGCTTGGAAATCCGTGCCTTTGGCTACCACCGCACAAAGAGAAACACAACTTTTTAAACTACAAAGAACATTTAAACATTTGGCTTTCTACTTTTCTAAGTATGCAAACTCTTTTTGGTAAAGCAAAGCTTGAAGTCTGAAAAAGGGCATGTACGACTAATTTGGTTTTTACCAAATCCAAAAAGGTGTACCAAATCAAACATCATTCTATTAGCCCTGGGATTAAAAAATGGAAGTATGTGGCTTGATAAATGTTATCAGAATTATTATTTGGGAAGCAGAACTACAGATATTCCTTTCTGGGGTTTATTTTTTAAATAAAAGGATTACTTAACAGTTTGGCAAAAAAAAAATACTTTATAATTTTTTTTTTTTTTTTGCAGGGAAGAATACTATATACAACGCGGTCTTAAAACCACTACTGGTATTCATAGAAAGAACAGAGAAAGCATGAACAGTCTTACCCTTAAGGGGAAAATAAGCTAAAGAATGGAAATGTTTTTCAACTTCAAGATGGATTATGTTTTTAATAGTTTTGCCACAACAAAGCATTTTATTGAAATAGCTGCTCTGTGCCAGATCAGGGCACATACACCATTATTTTAATGAGCTTTAACAAGAACCCACATCCCCAGATGAGAGAATCAGATTGTTTGAGTTTTTTTGGGGGGGCAGGGGGGAGCGGTATGTGATGGGGGTAGCTTACTTGTTTTTCAAAAGCTGTTGGCACCAGTCGTCTCAACTCAGATAAACTATTATTTATCCGATCCCGGCGCCTTTTCTCTATAATCTATTCCAAAGAAAGCAAAACAACAAAAGTTTATGAATACACAAATGATAAAATTACTCACAATGGAAAAATAGAACTGTTGCACATTAGGCTGGGTTACGTGAAATAAAATGGGGGGGGGAAATCACATACCCCTCTCCTTTTCTTTCTTGCCATAATCTGAGATGTGGTTGTTGGAGAATTCGATCTTATCACAGAACCAGAACTTTGCCTAGGAAATAGGAAGAGTATATCAGGTGTTGCATTAACATAACAAAAGTTTCTCCAAAGTACAAAGTGATCGCACAGATCGTGTCTGTGTTATTTTAGTCTTAGTTCTTGCTTCACTTTTAACAGATTGCACTTTTAACTCTGCTGACTCTTTTCAGGTAGGAATTATGTCCCTTTGGTTTTAAATCTGTAACGTGCTAATACAGATGTCAAATCCATTGGCAAAAATGACCCTGAATCTTACTTGAGTCTCCCAGTGAAACAATGATGAGTTGTTAGGGTGAGAAATTACATATTAATACTTCCTAGTTCTACTCCCACATATTTCTTAAGTCAATTAACGGCTAATAGAATCCTACCTCCTCCTTCCTGTCACACACACTGAACAAAGTAATAGCACTTTTAAAAATAAGAATCATATTAAGCACCACTATCAGATATAGAGTCATCACATGTCAAACTGTTGTCCCTAGATGCAATCTTTAAAATAAACGCAAGTTATTGTATATTTCAAATCTTCAGTCATATCTCGTAATAGGGCAAAATGAACAAATTTAATGTGTGGCATACTGATCTTCCAAAAGCATGTCCTAAATTAACTATGCCACTAATAGGAAACTTAAAATTAGGTTTAGTACTAGGAAAAACTTTGAAAATGAAACCACCTCTCAGCGGTCCGTGTAAGCTTAAATCTCAAGCAGCTTGCTAATGAAATGCTATTTTTCCAAAGTTCAATCAAATTATCGTCTGGTCAGGACACTTTCATAGTCCTGCCTAGTTTGTATCTGTTGTGTTTCCTAACTCATGGGTACTACATTTTCTTGCGTTCTCAAATTCTCCAGGTTTCTGTCATTTGCTCTTTTCCATTTTAGAAATGTTGCACACACCAGGTTCCTATTACCTCACCTTTTCACTTCTGGATCCTATTTCTGAATCAACTGTCCCCTATTATTCTCACCCCCTTTCTATTGGTTTCACCTTTCACGTGACACCTTCCGTTTTTCGGACATTTTTTAAGATGACATAATGATACTTTAAAATTAGATTCTCTGCAACCCACGTCTCACGTAAACATCTTTGCTCTTACCGTCTGCAGGTTGTGGTTTGTACCTATTACAAATAGGGTAGGAGAGCAAAGTAGTTTTCCAAAAGTAGGAAGGATTTCGCTCTTTGACAGCTGCAGATAAATAATTAAGGCGCTTCTGGGGATGCCAATTAGAAGCAATTATCACTTGACCCGCCCCGGCGCTAAAACGCCTCTCGGTTCATGTGCCTGTGCCACAGGAAGCAGGAGGTCTGGCTCCTGGGATCTCGACGCGACCCGCAGGCTCAGGACCAGCGCGTCAAGGAGATGATGCCCTGCCCATCCTCGCGGCCGCCACTCGCTTGCGGGTCAGCCAAGTCACGCACGGTCAACCCGAAACGCGCCACCGCCGCAGACTAATTTCTCCTTTCTCCTGGCCCATTGTGAAAGTGCCCCCAACAGTTGCAGTGGCGGGGGGCGTCTCTCCGGACAGCCGGGCTCCCTCCCACGCCCGCGCGCTCCCCTCCGGCTGCGGCCCGCACCCCCTCAGCCCCACCCCCGCAGCGAAAGACGACAGACAGCCCTCGCCCCCCACGCAAAAAGCATCCCGGACAGAACTTCCCTCCCCGCCACGAGCCGGCGGAACAGAACGTCGGGCTCCGGGGCAGCTCCCTCAGAGCGCGCGCTCACCCCGAGTAATTGTTCTCGCTCCCCACGTCGATGGTCTCGTCCATGTCGCTCTCGGAGGTCGTCTCTTCGCAAGGACGCTTCATCGTGGAGAAGACGGCGCAGGGCCGGAGCCACGGGCGCCCTCCCCGCCCGCCTCCTTCCTCCCTCCCTCCCGCCCACCCTGGGCCTCCGCGGGCGCGGCTCCGGCGACGGCGGCGGCGGCGCGGTCGGCTCCTCGCAGCTCTTTCCCACGCCGCAACCCTGCTCCGCGGCAAGAGCCGGCGCCGGCCACGCCCCCCGCGCGGGCGGGGCCGCCTTTCAGCCCCCGCACGCTGGCCCCTGCGGCCCGCCGAGCAACGCCTCCTCGGAGGTCGGCGTGTGCTGCGATTGGCTAATCCGGGGGGGCGGGGCCGCGCTCTCCAAGGCCCGCCTCGAGGCCGCGGTTCAGGCGTGGGAACGCGGCCGAGCACCTGGGAGCCGGGAGCTGCGCGCAAGGGCGGGCGGAGGGTGCTGAGGGCGTGTGCGCGGGTTCTGTGGAGTCAGCCGGGAAGCACGCCGAGGAGAGCGCGGGCTCGAGCGCGGGCGCGGGCGTGGCAGGGGGCGGGCTCCGGGCGGCGATTTTCCGCCCTCCAGCGCTGCCGGCGGTCTGGCCCTTAAGTTTCAGGCCGGGTTTAAAGAATAACCCCGCGCGCGTGGCTGAGTGTGCGCGAGCGCGTGTGACGTCGGGCGGCGCCAGGGCTCCACCGAACCGCCTCTCCCCACCCCCATTCGGCTGTCCCCAGTCTGGGCCGAAACTGCTGACTGGCTGACCAAAGCTGTCACACTTGTCCTCTGGGGGTTTTGAAAACCCTAAATCAAAGCTGGCTTTTCTGACAAGTCCCGAGCCTACGTCCGCGGCCTCTGGGCTGGACAGATAAGGGGGTCAGTTCTCCCTCAGGTACTTGGCAGCCGGCCGCGAGACGCGCGGCTTCCCTGTCAGCTCTGTGCTTCCCCCGTTATCGATTCCCACGTGGTGTCGGCCGCGGGACCGCCGAGCGGATTTGGCCGGGGCCGCGTCCGCCTTGGCGCTGTAAGCGGCGTTAGGGCCGCGGTGCGGGTCTTTAGGGCACCAGTTTAGCAGATTTTCAAGTTCGATTTTCTCGGACTCGGATGAACCGGATAGCCACTTCCGTTCTCCCTCCAACCACCCAGGTGTGTGCAGGCGCAGCCGTCGGGTTCCTTAGAATCCGGAAAGCGGAGGCTCGCGCTGGGAGCGGGAGTTTGTTTCTTGACGGACGCACTCGTGTCCAGTAGACCTTAGGGCACTGGACGCAGGGCTGTGGAAACTCTAGTTGGGCTTTCAGTGAAACCGTCTGCAAGCCGCTCTTTCTCCCCAGCTCCGAGGAACCAGGGCACCGGCCACGCGCGCCGTGCCTCTTGCAGGGCAGGAAAGTGAGTGGGCCGGCGGGGCAGCGGACGGGCCGTGGTCCGGGCACAGGTCGCCCAATAACTAGCTCCGCGCGCGTGGAGCCACAGGTGGATTCGTGTCTCTGGGGGTCTCCTCCAAGGGGGCCCCCGGGACTCTCCAATCGCTCCGCACCCCCGATGCGCGCTGGGCGGGCGAGGGACGAGGAGAGGAGGGGCAGAGAGTAGACTGGGTGCAGGCGGGCTCGGGCCGGGAAAGTGCGGCCAGCGTGTCACAGACCTCATTAGAACACAAAACCGCGTCCCCACCAGCCCCGTCTCCACTGCCGCCCCGCGGCGCCGCCTTCAGAATCGTGTGAACAGAAACCCGAGACGCGCAGACTTGTGAAATCTCACCCGGAGCGAAGCGCGCGGGCGGCGGCGACCCCCGGGCGCGGCGGTCAGCAGGGTTGGTGCTGGCCTGCGCAGGACTGGTGCTGGCCTGCGCAGGACTCGGGGCCTTGGAGCACTGGCAGTGCCCGCAGCCCGAGCGCGCAGCGCGGGGCAGAGCGGACCCACACCCTTGTGGCGCCCCGGCCGGGGCCACCGCATTCTCGCTCCGGGGAGCTCCCAGGCCCGGACAGGGGTGGTCAGGCCGGTTAGACGCGAGCTCGACCTTCCCTGCTCAACCAGGGTTGCTCTTTGGTGTTTTTTTTTTCCCCCTCCCAAAGCCAATGCCTACAGGTGCAATTAACCTTGCCACGCGAACAAATTAGCCGCCGCTTCCAAACGCCAGCGGCAAAACCTGAAGTCATCATGGAAGAAAAAAAAAAACCCACACAACCAAGAATTCTTTCTCACTATGCTAATACTTTTCATGCATTTCACTAGAATGGTTGGGAAACACTGCAGAGGGAAATGATTTGCTTGCAATAAAGCAGCGATTGGTTAAAGGTTTTTTTTTTTTCTCCCCATATTTGACTTTGAAGACTTAACCGCTGTGCGGTGTTAGGAAGAAATAGATCTCAGGGACGGTCGAAAGCACACACAAATTTCATATCCGTTAAAAATACTTTTTAAGCGAAGAAGGTCGTAGTTTAAAAGCGCTTAGAACATTGTTAAGCGCTGTATGAGTGTTGAAGAATGCGTAGGTGAAAGACCGCAGCGTTTTGAACACCCTCAAAAGTGTATACTCATTTATGTTTGAAGCAGGAATCGTAATTAGGCAGCCCGAGATGTTTCCATTAGATCTTTTATTCCCCTCAAGTATTCCATCTGCCTGTTCCCTCGGTAGGCGCCCCGTCTGCCTGCATCTGAGAGTGCGCGCGGGACCCAGGCACGCACAGGAGGAAACCTCCGCGCACCCGGCGGGCGTCCAGAGGCTCGCAGACGCTGGGTGGGCGCGCGCTGCGGGCTGCCTGGGGTGGCGCGTGTTGGGGGGAAGGGACCTGGGAGGGGCAGAGCGGCGGGGTTGCAGGCCGCCTTCCCCTCGGCGACCTGCTTCCCGGCGAAAGTTGATTGCGAAAGTTGATCGAAGTCTTCCCGAGAGCCCAGCCCGGGGCTGGGAAGTCAGCGCGCAGAGGGAACCGCGGTTCTTTTTTTTTTTTTTTTTTTTTTTTTTTGGAAGATTTGTACAATGAGATAATTAGACCGAACGATGCAAGGAACTTTCCTAGAAACAAAATCCCATAGAAAAGGAAGCCCAGGACGACAGACCTAAAAGGGGAAGGGAAGACTCGGTAGCCTTTCCGAAATTGGTCGTCCCGCCGTGTTTTGTTGCTTTTTGTGATTTAAGTCGTCGGTGTGAGGGCGAGATGTCGGGTGCTGAGATCAGGAAACAGCAGATGGAATGGCCCCGAGCCTTCTCACAGACACTTCCCCGTACCCGTTTTATGTAAAGCTGGCAATTTTTGCATCTGTATTGAGTTTGATGATCTTGGCCAAGTTTTACCTTGTCCTACAAATTTTGAGTTTTGTAGCATAACCTAATAAAGTGATTGTTTTGCTGCGATTTCAGAATTTCCCTTACAACATTTTTGGAACGAATCTGAGACCTTCCTCCCTCCAACCCTCCTCCCCGGTCTGCTTTTTTTTTCCTTCCTTAGAGCCTTCTGCTTTTTCAGGATCGGCTGTCACACATTGTTACTTGTTGCTTCTGTGAATTCTTTGAGATGCTGTTTATAATTACGTTTTTTTAAAAAAACACAAAAACCTCTGTCACTTTGGTGTTTGGTTCGCTTCGTAGATCACCAGGGTATGATACCACTATACAACATGTTTTAACTTAGTTTCCGAATAAAATTAGGGCAGCTTTGTGATTTGGAGACCTTTATGTTAGTCTGAGAAGCCTACACGTCGATCATTCAAACTGAGAAGTCCAGTATTTTGCCCCTTCTGAAATCTTATAATTATTTACATGGTTTTCTCTTGCAAAGGGAAAACAACCAGGCTGCCTGGAGAAGTGCTAGTCTATTTGCAATTGCAAGGGCAGGTGACAAGCACGTGTGTATCTGCAGGCAGCCTTGTTGGGCTGCCTTCCCGGACTACAAGGCTATTGTGGAGCTGGTAACGCCTTAAAATGTGAGAATGCTGCACCCTGGGAGTAGGGGCCAAGGGCAAGATCCTTGTAAATTTCAATACCTTTCCCAACATCAGGCTGGCAGCAGGCAGGCCAACTTCGGGTCACTGTGTGACACATATTTGCAAGCCAGTAAAGCAAAACAAAGCCAAAAGCAAGGGCAAGCTTAGGCCCACCAACCTTGAAGTCATCTCTAAAAGGGAGCTGGTTTACCCTTAACAATTGCTCTTGCCTGGTCAGCCACAAAAAGTGCATCCTGTTTCTTGGCTTGTGCCAGTAGGCGCTACTTATTGAACCTTGTATCAGGGACTTCATGGTCAGAAATCTTAATGTACCCAATCTCTGTTTCCTGGAAGTTAGAATGTTTACATTGATCTCTGTTGTTAGGTTTCATTTCAGGATGTTGTTAGCGCTTAGCACATGCCCAGGGATGAACACTGGTTTTATGGTAGGACCCTTGAGGAGAGGAGGGTTGTATACCAAGCTGTCTGTTTTCCACGCCCCAGTCACAAGATAACAATACTATCTGTATTAACTCTTTGTGCTGGTCAAATTGATGTTGGAAGGCATTTCTTTTAAGGGAATTCTTTTACATTTCTGTTTCCTTGAAGTTGGTTTGGCAGATTTTTTTTCCTCCTCTCTTAAGGTGTCAGTGAAATATATTCATATATGCCATGAAAATGGTTCTTTTAACTGTTTTCAACCTTTAACCAAATGCTAGGTACATAGTGGGTATATAATAAATAAGATTAATTTCTTACTAAAATTAATGAGCTTTCTGCTTCTTTCTATATACGCAGAATTTTGATATGCTACAGTAATAAAATGGAAATCAAAGATCATGAAAAGATGAAGATCAGAAGAGAAACATGGTGAGTTTTCTAATTTTTATGAGGAAACACATTGTTTTTCACCAAAGAAATATTCTACCCAGTCCCTGAATTTTGAAAGAACTGCATAACTGCTTTACTCACAGCCTCTTCAATTTTTATTTTAATTATTTAAAACAATTTTTATCCAAATTTTCCCTTCCAATATCTCTATTAATTATGATAGGATGCATAAACGAGGATACTATTTTATCTCCTAGGAGTTGAATAAGCCATAAATGAAGATGTTAGTGTATCTCCTAAGAGTTAAATAAGCCATCTACTAAGCTGTGAAGATTAATTAATTTACAATACTAGAGCCAGTGGCTCATAAATTTCCAAAAGTGTGGATTCTCTGTGGCACAGTTTCTGTTTTCAGTTTCAAAAAACAATTAAAAATCAAATATTCCCAGGTCTACTTGGTTGGCATTAGTTGGTGAAAATGAAAGAAAAAGAGAGGTTCTTAGTATTTGTAAACTATCAAGTGCATTGGAAGTTTTGAAGGCTAAATGAATTTGCCACCAGAATGCAAATAAGCATCTATCTTTTCTGAACCCTTTTATTAGAACATTTTTGATTAGCTGTGTACACATTAATGCTGTCATCCGATTATTTTTAAATTGGAGGTGACTACCTGGAAAAAAAAAACTTCATAGATCGGAAATAAAACATTTCTAATTTTAGATTCACTATGGAAATAAATGCAGGCTATTTTTGGACTTTAATGTTTTTGCAAAACTATTTGAAATACATACTTTATAAGAAACATCGAGAAACAGCAAGCATTATTTTTTCCTCCTAGACAGCTGGATTGCTTCTATCAGGTAAGAATTTGAGTAGTTCTTGGCATCTGTTGGTTAAAAGGCAAAGCACAGAGAATTGCTTTTTTCCTTGATTTAGCCTTCAAAATGATTTAATAATATAATAATGTATTGTGATTACCAGACTAAAATTTTTTAGAGGTAGATTTTGGTCTTGAGTAATAGCTCATTCCATTTCTATGAAACAAATACTTAAAGACAATAACAGCCTGTTGAATTGTGGTATTCACTGGGGCAGGGCAATCTCTTTGGAAGCAGAGATTCATGCTCAACTGCTGCTCAGAAGAGGGCAATATACTGTGCCTTGAGTATCTAATAAAGGGCACTGTGCATTTCCATAGTTCTTTTAATTTGAGGAACCTAGGGCATTATTGAATCATGAATCAAAACTCACAACACTGTATTACTTACTTGTCAAGGCTAGCTATCAGGATTTTGCTAGGAAACTGTGTCAACAACAATATGTAAAAAGTCTGAAAAGAGAAGATGAAATATGAATAGGAAATAGAATACAAACATAAATGATGTATATGGGTATATATATATTTGTCTAGAAATAGAAGTAGCTATATATAATTAGATATACAAAGTACAAAATAATTAAAGGTTTTACATTTGATATGACTTAGGTTGTTACTATATGAAATGCAATGGTAATGTCTTGAATAGCTCAAATTGGAGAGATGAATGCTGCATTCTACAATTAAACCACTGTTTTGCAAAATAGAATTTAAGTTTTATGTACTTTGAATATTTTCTCTGATTTGAAAATCAACTTTGCTGTAGTTCAGTTCTTTTTATTTTAGATACTGAAATGCCTTTTGACTATTCTATTATCTAAGTTTCTTTATGCAGATTTTAAAGGATAGACCCTTAGAAAAACAGACTTTGATAGTTGGGACCTCTCAGTATCATGAGAATCAGATGTTAAAAGGTGGGAGGGCAATTCTGTGGTATTTGGGTGGAACACTTGAAGAGTCATATTTTCTTTGTTTGAACCCATGAAATATTGCTAAATATTCATATGTTGTTTGCATAGAGTCTGGATGCGGTAAAAGTTTGAGCAAAATTTAAAATTGAAAAGTTTTATTTATTTACGTTTTGGGGTGTGAACTGAGAAATGTGTTCATATTTTAATTTTAACAGTGAAACATGTTCTTGTTAAAAAATGTAGATAGTACAGTAGCGGGGAACATGTCTTAAAAATGAAACCAAGAAGACTATGGACAGATATCATGGACAGTAACCAGACTAACTTTCATTACCCATGACTTGATTTTTGCAAACGGTGCCTCTCTTAATTCATTTGTTCACATTTCCAAGCCACTGAAATACTGAACACCTACTTGGAGCAATGTTCCCTGCTCAGCATTGTAGGTGGTAGGTGGAGAACAAGATTCAAGTCCTGCTTTTAGGAAATAGCAGAGTAGGTAATATGGGAGTCTAAACATCAATGACCAATTAGATCATGGTCAATGTAAAACATAAAACTGCCTGCTTTGGGCACCAAGGGAGAAAAGACAAGTTTTTGAAGGAAAATTTCAGCAGTGGCAGCTCCATTTTTTGCACAAAATTAGAGACAGTGATCCTGTTGGACAGGTGGGGTGGCCCAAGAATTTTTGTCTTGTCACTGGAATGCCTTTATATACTCTTAAAGATTCTGTGAAGAGGATGTCTAATGCCTTATCTATTGTGAAGTACTAATGACAACTGAGCAGAGGTTTAAATGGTGCATAGAATCATTGCAATTTAAATTAAATTTTAAAGAAACTCAGGGGCTAAAGAGTGCAAGTGACTCATCGGAAAAGATGAGGGATTCCTGGCTGGAGTGAGGGAAACATAGGGAAGGTAGGTAGAGGGGAGAGAGCTGTCTTGGCGAAATGAGTTTGGCTGCAGGCAGATGCTGGAGGAGCTGAAGGTCTGATCTGGATGTCTTCTTGAAGTCATTTGAGAGCCACCAGAAGTTTTTAGAGAAGTGACATGTACAGAGCTATAATTCATTAGCTACGCTTGTTCAAGCTAGTCAAGTTTCTTCCTTATTCTAGTTGTTGTCACTAACTCGAATTGAAAACATTACAGCAGCAGAAAAATTCCAGGACAGTTTTTCTTGGGCAATGGAATTTCTGATGTCCTTTGTTTCTCAGTGTAAGCCGTTTAGCTATTAGAAGAGCATCTTCAGGTGGCACTGTGGGCTCAGCCCTGGGGGAGCTCATTGCTTTAAATTGGGTTCCTTGGCTTTACTTAATACGCCCTGATTTATATGAAAAAACATGTTTACTGCCTGCTCTGTGCAGTTTTCACATGATTATGCAAGGACTTGCACATCAGTATTTACAGATTTGTTTTAAAATCTGCCATGCCGTAATTAAAATCAGAACACAGTTATACTCTCAATGATTAAGGGAACTTTCTAAAGTGAGATTTTCAGCTTCAGTGACTTCAAAGTACTACACAGTAGAGGAACACTGCTAGCTATCTTGGGATTTATTCAGATTAAATACTTTCAGTGAAAGATTGAGCCATGATTCTTTCCTGCTACTTTCTTGCTGAGAGAGAGAAATAGGTTAGATTTCCTTTCTACAAGGTGCCATAAATAAACATTCAAGGATTTTACAACTCAGGCATCATTTAACTAGTTTTGGAGGCATAGAGTTACATCTTTCCCTGAAAGGCTTTGTTGAAATGAAAGTAGCTTGCATTTAAATATTAAATATTCAGTCAGTAAGTAATGGTGATACTTAATAAGAAAATGCAAGATAGCCTTAAAATAATGGATTTCCTTCTCGTCAACCCATTGCAGATAAGATAAAAACAATGTTCTGATCACTAAATAAAAGTGAATGAGGGAGCACTCTTGTCAAATCAGAGAGGATAATTTGCAGTGTTGGTAACTTTTCATCAGAAATTACTTCCAGCTTTAATGCATCGATTAATCAATCATCTAGTGAGCTCTCCAAGGAATTCAGAAGCAATGGAACAAGTTATTCCTGCTCTTTGTGAATTTATTATTCAGGGAATATATTAATAACCATCATAGTAGCAACCATTTATCCAGTGCTTGCTATGTGTCTTACACTTTTGTAAATCCATAAAGCACTATGTGGATTAGTTTATTTAATCCTCATTTAACTCTTTTAGGTAGGTACAGTAATAATCTTTATTTTACTAGTGAGGAATCAGACCCAGTGAAATTAAGTAACTACTCAGGGTTTGTTTTTTTTTTTTTTTTTGACAGGCAGTTAGACAGTGAGAGAGAGAGAGGCAGAGAGAAAGGTCTTCCTTCCATTGGTTCACCCCCAAAATGGTCACTATGGCCTGCGCGCTGCGCCAATCCGAAGCCAGGAGCAGGTGCTTCCTCCTGGTCTCCCATGTGGGTGCAGCACCCAAGCCATCCTCCACTGCCTTCCCAGGGCACAGCAGAGAGCTGGACTGGAGCAATCGGGACTGAATCAGGCGCCCCAACCAGGACTAGAACCCGAAGTGCCAGTGCCGCAGGTGAAGGATTAGCCAAGTGAGCCACGGCGCCAGCCTACTCAGGGTTTTATGGGTAATATAATCTGGTTGGCCTCAGGGAATCTCTTTCTAGGCCAGTGCTCCTATCCATTGCTAGACATTACTTCCAAGAACAATGCATGTGATACACAAACAGGGCAAACAGGTAGAAATGATGCATAGTTTAAGAAAAAGTTGTTTCTGAAGACCATACTGTTTAGAGGGCCAAAATGTTTTCCCACAGAAACCATGTGATAAATTAGTTTCTGAGTCCACCCTCAGCTGACTACTCCGCAATACGGCTCAAGGAAGCATGTGATTAAGAACATAAGCTTTGGAATTATGTTCCAACTTGAAGTTAGTGATACCTACTACAGGATGAGGATCAAATAAAAGCAGGCATGTCAACTGCTTAGTAATATGATTGACACATGCAAAGACATACATAGAGCCCATTGATCCTTGCTCCAAAAATGGGGACCATGTTCCCTGTTATTTTTTGTTTCCTTGTGAAAATGTAAATCATCTTTTATTGCTTTGATATTATGGAATCAATACCTTTTCATTGCAGAAAAATTGGTAAACTTTATTAGTAGTAAGAACATTGAAATTACCATTTAAACATGTCAACTAGAGACAATCACCACAAATCCTTTTGATGGTTTTCCTCCGAGTTTTTAGGTTTATACA